TGGCAACTTTATGAAGTATTTTCTCATTGGTAGAGCGAAGATATGGCAACTTTATGAAGTCTTTCCTCATTGATACCGCTAAGATATGGCAACTTTATGAAGTCTTTCCTCATTGGTAGAGCAAAGATATGACAACTTTATGAAGTCTTTCCTCATTGATACCGCTAAGATATGGCAACTTTATGAAGTCTTTCCTCATCGATACCGCTAAGATATGGCAACTTTATGAAGTCTTTCCTCATTGGTAGAGCAGAGATATGGCAATGTTATAAAGTCTTTCCTCATCTGTAGAGGATTAGATTCGGTAGTAGAGATTAAAATCAAGGCCTGCTGGCATAGTTGAGTTCCCGCTCCTTCGAAACGCATATGAAGGAAGCCTTCGTCGCGTGCCATGGGCGTATGCAGCACCACGACGTGATCTGCAGGTACAAATCAAGCTGGATAAACTTTAACGATAAGGTTAGGTTCAAATCAAACCACTGTTTCTCAGAGAAACCACAAATATTTATGAGACATCCTGAGTATTTTTAAATTGATGTTTTTTTATTTCTTATTTGTAGTCAGTACACATTCCCCCATGGCTTCTGAAAAGATTTGAAACACCAGTAACGGCTCATTTCTAGATTCTAATTTAATGATGTGTAATAGAAGTAATAAATTGTAATACAAACTGGAACTTAAAAGTAGAGTATGTAATACAACAGTAACAAACACTTCCAAAGGCTTAGTGTAATAGTTTGGTACATAAAATGTAAGATGTATTGAAAACACTGACCAGTTACAATAACATCTCAAATTAGATTAAAAACAGTTTCAACAATATCAGATGTAATGATCCGTAACAAGAGATTAAGACCATTTTCCAGAATATGTCTATTCCGATATAATTTTAACAAGAGATTAAAATTCATTCAGAAAATTTTAAACATGAAAATGTAAAATAAAACGAATATAAACAAAAAATCAAGTCACCCACAAACCTAGATGTAACGATTTGTAGTAAAAGTTCTTAAAACAGGCATTTTTAAGTAATGAGGTGAATTACAAGTTACTTCATCTAACATTTCTACACTCATGAGTATAATGATTTATAATAGAAAGCTCTTGTATCTAACATTTCTACACTCATCAGTATAATGATTTATAATAAAAGCTCTTGTATCTAGCATTTCTACACTCATCAACATAATGATTTATAATAAAAGCTCTTGTATCTAGCATTTCTACACTCATCAACATAATGATTTATAATAAAAGCTCTTGTATCTAACATTTCTACACTCATGAGTATAATGATTTATAATGAAAGCTCTTGTATCTAACATTTCTACACTCATCAATATAATGATTTATAATAAAAGCTCTTGTATCTAACATTTCTGCACTCATCAATATAATGATTTATAATAAAAGCTCTTATATCTAACATTTCTACACTCATGAGTATAATGATTTATAATGAAAGCTCTTGTATCTAGCATTTCTACACTCATCAGTATAATGATTTATAATAAAAGCTCTTGTATCTAACATTTCTACACTCATCAATATAATGATTTGTAATAAAAGCTCTTATAAAAATACTTTTAACACAATTGTTATTATTTGAATATTTTTCTCCCTCAGTTCGTATAAAGTGGAAGACATGCTCCTTCATGTACACATTCCTACGTCATTTCCATTAGACGAATAGGGTGAATATTCTGATTTTATTGAGAGCTAATAAGTCGACGGTAAGTTGAACGGTTTACAACGCTAAAATCCTGAGTTCAATTTTCCGACTTGGACAGAGTGCCGATAGCTCGTTATGTAGCCTTTGCACTAAGAATCTTATTTTCCAACATCCTAATTTCTTTCGTTCAATTTGTTATACAACCTGTGTATAGCGGTTAACAAACAGAAAACGCATGTGTTACTAAATAGTTCATTAAGCATATGAAAAACCTCGGCTTACTGGGAAAATAATTCACAAATTGTTTATATAAAACAAACTCACACAGAAACCCTCACATATCTATCCCTCTATACAGTTAATAAATTTTTATTCAAACTTCAGGTATACGTATTACGACTTTGTCTTTATAGGAATCTACTCTGGACCAATTTTAAACAGTATTTTAGAAATGTATTTTCTGGCTGAACGTCGTCACTGGTTGAAACTTGTATCGCTGATCTCTTAAGGAATACAGAACGATCATTTCTTGATATCATTTATATATATAAAAAACGACTTTTTCTTAGATTCAGTTTCAGCTTCGTTCAATTGTTGTTCTTAGCAAAGAGCAGTCCAGTTTCTCTGAAGAAAGTAAAGTTGAAGTCAATCTCATCTTCGTGTCGTCATTGTGTTTGTGAAATAGGAACTTGTATAACCAAAAATCTCACATAGAACTTGTATAACCAAAAACCTCACATAGAACTTGTATAACCAAAAATCTCACATAGAACTTGTATAACCAAAAATCTCACATATAACTTGTATAACCAAAAAATCTCACACAGAGCTTGTATAACCAAAAATCTCACATAAAAGAAATAGACTTCTCTTTCCGTACTACCATAAAAACATTCTTGATTTAATATAAAAAAATATCTATAGTCTGACCGATAATTTTGTTGAAGAATTGAATAAATCAAAAATTCACTTGATATTTTATTTCCTTATGAAGTTCTCTATATCTGATAACTTATGATATTTTGTTTTCTTATGAAGTTCTCCGTATCTGATAACTTGTGATATTTTATTTTTTTAATGAAGAACAATTCCTAATCGTCTGGATGTATAGGTTCTCCGTAAGTAAGAATGTGTTTCATTTTCGGATGTATATGTTTTCTCAGTCAGTAAGAATATGTTTCCTTTACCACTGATTCGGCGCTGCGTCAGCGGTAAGTTCAGGGGTCATATCGCTAAAATCCTGGGTTCGATTCCCCGATATGGACAAAGTGCAGACAGCCTATTGTGTACCTTTTCACTAAGAACATAACAACAAAACCTTATTCTTCTACAAGCTAACATCTTTTATTGTGCAGCAGTTGTACATCATCATACCAGGGGGATCAACGGTAAGTTAGTTGGAGCTACGTACATCATCATACCAGGAGGATCAACGGTAAGTTAGTTGGAGCTACGTACATCATCATACCAGGAGGATCAACGGTAAGTTAGTTGGAGCTACGTACATCATCATCATATCAGGGGGATCAACGGTAAGTTAGTTGGAGCTACGTACATCATCATACCAGGAGGAAC